GGTTGACTTAGGAAAGAAGACAAAGATATCTAGGTTGCACAGAGAAGGGAATTCCTTCTAGCCACTCAGTCTTGGACACTGGACAACTGCTACCATGACAGAAAATGCCTGAGTTTAAGAGAATCCAAAGTCCTGAGATCTTGCCCCCTCTGGTGGCACCATTATGTATCCCAGCTCCATTTTGAACAGAAAGCTGACACCTTTATTATGCTGCTAACTAGAATTAAATAAATTAAAATAAAATAAAAAAAATGCAATCATTAAAAAGGAGGGAAAAGGGCTTGGAAAAGTATGTTATAAATAAAATTCTTCCTTGCCCCACCATTGCTTGAATTATCTTTTTTTATTCCTTTGTAGTGAAAAAAAATAGTAAAGAAATGTCAACAGTCCCATATTAACAGTCCCTTTATTGCAAATCACTTACAAATTTCTCCTTCTACATGAAATAATAATTCTTTTAACTAGCCCCATACCCCTCCAAAGTTCACAATTCTTAGTGACATAAATTTGGGGTTGATAAAATCCAAACACTGATGATAAAACCAAGAGCATATCTACTGTTAACCTCCAATTGTATTAACAATTCTACTAATGTCAGCCTAAACCACAGCAATAAAAATACGCATCTTCTGTGATGAAGTTGCCAAAATCTTGAAAAAAATCAGTTTCTCTTACTTTGATGCCAAGCTCTTAAAAGTGGAAGTTTTCACTTGTGGGTTCTGACGGCATGCTAGAGCAAATCCCAAGCCAGATAATTTAGTAAATTTGTACATTGCCCATCTCACTTAAGTGACATTATACTTACTACATTCTTTGAACTATATAATCCTTATCCAAATCTGTTTGCAGAAATTCTAGTATGTTTTGAAGCCTATCCAGAAAAAGCTTACAATAATTTTCATTAGTTAGTGAAACAGTATTTTGTATTAAGCTGTAGAGGCTAGTTCTTTCTAGAAGGGACAAAACATATTAAATTGTTTATCTGAGTAGTACAACTTCATGAACAAGTGGTTTTCAATCACCAGATGGTTAATTCTGTTCCTAAAGAAGCAAGGTTTGAAGGTTCCTGCACTGATACCTAACATGAACTTACAAACTGTAGTAAGCCAGGAAACAAACTACATTATGCATGAGTCAGGTCTGCTTGAAAAACTAGGCAATTATTTAGGATTTATTTAGGATTTAGGATTTATTTCATTTATACCCCGCCCTTCTCCCGGAGGACTCAGGGCGGCTTACAGCCAGTTAAAACAATTACACAAAATACAAATCTAAGATAAATTAAAAATAAATATTCGAATCGGCCGCACTACTAAAATTTAATTAAAACCAATTTAAAATTACCCCTAGGCCAGTCCTGCCTGCT